AAAAAAAAAAAAAAAAAAAAAAAAAAGAATGAATGAGAACCTAGCTACTGGGATAAAGGTTGACGACTGAACTGTCGCACTTGCTGGGAAAGGAAGCATCAGTTTAGTCCAGAAGAGCGACACTGGGTGTAACAACCGCTGCAGGACAGGCCTCGTGTGTTCAGACCAACGTATAATGGACTTTGTAGCTTTTTTATTTTTGTGTTTGTACTTTTATTTGCTTACAGTTTCATGATATATATATTTTTTCATCTTGAGTGTAATTTTATTTTGTTTTCTTGGTTTCCTCGGGGGATTTTGTCGATGTATTGGGTTTTTGTTTCTTTTTTGAGAAAGAACCTAAAGTTGGGTGAGTGGATAGGGAAGGGGAGGGAGTATGGAAGGAATTGAATATGATCAAAGTCTTAAAAATTAAAAAAGAAAGAGAAAAAAAGAAAGAAAGCTGTTATCCTGTGACTGACTGATGCTGACCACAACAGCTACGTTCTATGTAAACTTTTGGATTTGAATCAATGACTTTATTAAATGTGTGTCAAACAAAAGCAAAAGAACACATGGGCAGTAGAAGATAGAGAGCCCCCCCCCCTCAACAAATCGGGGCCTTGCAAACATTCAGTAGAAATAGACTATGAAAAAGGTCTGGTTGAAGCAGTCAGCCCCTCCAAGCAGGTTTTCAAGTAGAGGAATGATTGACAGCAGGCAGATGATGCTGTCGTCCCAGCTGAAACCCACCGGATAGGTTAGGCAGTCAACAGGAGTGCCTGATCAAGCTCTCTCTTCATGGAAGAGCTTTCCACCGGTCACTTCCAGTTCTGCCCTTCCTCCCCAAACTTTCCAGATCTTGTGCTAAACAAGGGCTTTAGAGCGAAGGTTTCTCTCGGAGGACTTTGACCGGAGTTGTTTTTCAGGAGTTCAATGATTTTGCTCCAGCTGTTTTGTTTCTTGCTTTGCTCAACGTGAGAGATGGGTGGCTAGCCTGTCCCAGCAAGCAGTGCTTTGAAGAACGTTTTTGAGACTACTTGAAAGAAATAACTGGAGTCTGAGTCAGGAGAGCCCATTTCACTCCCAGAGTCTGCCTTTAACAAGCTTTAGGAGCACATGGCAACTTCCCAACATGATGTGCATTCCAGCCCCACAAAATGAGACCTTGAGGAATCAACACAGCCCAAAGGAACCCAAGTGTAATGCCGTGCTGGGAAGAGAAAGAAAAAGGCCGAGCTAAGGAGACTGTAGAGCCGTGTAAACGCCAGGTTACAGGAGTACACCAGTGCCGGTTACTAATTGTCGCAAGTATACCACATTGACGTAAGACACAAATAACAGAATAAATCTGGAGTGGGAGTGGCCACAAGGTTAGGCTACCTCCCTCATGTTTTTGTTCCTTTAAAGCTGGGTTTTCTTTTATTTTGTTCTGTTTTCCTTGAGAATGGGAATTATTCTGGTTTATTTCTGTTGCTGTCATAAATTAAATGCCATCTCCTAAAAAATACTTAGGAGGAGGAAGGGTTTATTCGGCATACACTTCAAGTCGGAGGCCATGGGTGAGCCAGTCAGTCAGGAACTCAAGGAGGGGAGGGAAGGGGAGCAGAAAACACCCGGGAAGGCTGCTTATTGGTTCGCTCACAGTCACGTGCCCCGCTAGCTTTTTCTATACCGCCCAGGACCCCCAGCCTTGGAAACGGTTCTTCTCATATTGGATGGGGCCCTCCTACATCAGTTTCCAATGGAGATATGACTTCTAGATATTTCCGTAGGCCAATTCGATCTGGCATGCCTCTCAACTGATGGTCCTTTCTCAGGTGATTCTTTCTATCTTGTTTCAAGTGGATGATTAATATATAAATTTAACTAGCATTGACGTTTTCTCTGTTGCCTTGATTCAAAGTTTCAAAATCCACAGATGTTACAATGGTACCTTCTTTGGAGGATAATCAAAGTTCCCAAATAGGTATGGGCTGTGGTGAAAACACTATTAAGATCTCTGTCTGTCTGCCACCCGTATCCCGTATCCCTTGAACCTCTACGGCCTGTACTTCTGCAGCTGTTTTGGTCATAGAGCTGAAGAAAACATGGCACCTGACCTCCTATGTTATCCAGATCACCTTTTCTCCAGGTAAGCACATTTAAAAAAAAAATACTGGGCTAGGACAGGCAGGAGACCTCTACTACACCATTGTGTGAAATCTTCCCCTCTGTCTGTATGTGATGATCCTGCCAAGTACTGCAGGATGGTCTTCCAGTCCAGTGGACCTGCATTCCAACATCTTAGCACTCTATCCTGGGCCCTGGATCCCCACCACAGTATGTGTTCAGGAGAGAGATTCGAGTTCTGTGGGACTTGCTTTGAATGACTGTATTTTCAGTCACTTTGTTGTGATTTTTTTCCCCACCATGACTCAGCATTTCAGGCCTATGTAAGAGTCTTTTAAAAGTTTTGTTGCAGAGAATTCCTTCCCTAGCTTAGTGCACCAGCTTCTGACTACACTGGAGATATTTCATAAGTACCTCTTGTCTAAGTGTTCTGGAAGAGGCTTTTCTTTCAGAGACATAACGCACCTGCCTGTTTACCACAGAAAGTGAACCTTTAACAAAGGAGGCTAGTGGAAACTCAGAAGGCTGAGTTGTAGCCATTTCTGAAACTAACAGAAATTGGCTTTCTGTTAGATAGATTTCAAGTGTTTACATGATGACCCAATTTACCAGGAAATTTAAGCAATTCCTTATTCCACTTAGTAATGAGGTGAACCCAGTGTTAAATAAAACCTAATACTGAAAGTCATGTTGAAAGGATGATAAGACTAATGCTGAATTATAAATTTCACTTACATTAGCTCTTACCTAATTCCAGTTAATATCTGCTCCTGGTCCTTTTCTGATGGATTATGTTCATAAAATAAAAGTAATTTTAAACTTGCTTCTTGAATAGGCTATAGTTGTCATAATAATGGTTATTTCAACTTTTCTTTCTCCTTCTACAATGAAAGCAATAAGCAAAAAGATTCAATTATATTGTGATTTTTATTTCATCCATTTTCAACTATTTCTCAATGGTTCCCAAGAGCTATAGGAATCTCAGGTCCTCTCCTGTTTGTATACTCAGCACAAGCTGATGTTAGCACCCTCTGTTTTGAATCTGGCCGTTTCTGAGCTCTGTACAACTTCAAAACAGTCTTAATCAATCCAGCTTTCAAATTCCTAACTTCCTCTTTTCTGACAGAAACTTATGCTTCTATTAAGGAAGTTTCTACGCAGTCTTGATTTGACAGTTCAGAGATCTAAGTTCATCAAAATGAATCTTAACCTTTCTTGGGCCCCAAAAGAACCTAGTGGTCACCTCAGTTTCACCATTCATATCATCGAACTATAATTATTTTCCAATCTCTCTTTCTATTCTCGACTTTGAGCTTTTGTGGACCAGTGACTAGATTAGTTTTCTTTTTATCTCAATTAAATCCAAGTAAAACATTGTTAAATGATTAGAGAATACAACTGACTTTAGGAGTTCATCCCATAACAAATAAGATAAATGTTCTACATGCGTAAATAGATCTGAAATATGATTAAATAGATTAATATTCAGACAACTCCTAATGCTTAGACTTGATCTACTTAAGAACTCATGAAAGGAGCTGGAGAGGGCTTTCTCCACAGCCTCTACTCTACCATCTAGGCTGTTCTCAGTCCAGTGTCATCTCCGCGTTCCAAATGTCTTAATTAGCTCAAACCAAGTCAATTCATCTATAGCTTAGATGAACCGAAATGAACAAGTTCAACACCCTGCAGCAGACAGTTGTGTGGAGCAACTGGATGACAACAAACGTTTGCAGTGTTTGCAACAGTAGATCTGCTCTCCAGCTGTGGAGTCGTCGTGACTCTGTTATCAGCTCAGTTCACTCTGAGTATGCTCACACAATCACACGCACAACGCAAAGAGCGAAATGAGTGCTCCCAGAATCCCTTGCCAACCAGAGGTTGAAATTAGATTGGGACTTCATGGGAGACTTACACGGCAGAGCAAAGGGGGAATAACTGTCCTCTCTGGCCAGAGCTGTGACCCGGCAGGGACAAAGGGTCTTGTGATTTTGATCACCACCCACGATGCAGGAAGCTCATATCACCAATAGTATTTTCTCCTCTTTCCTGAATTCTGCCCTCGGGTCTTCCTGTTAGTACCTTTTCCTGTCCAAACTGTATAAAATGGTTTCTGTTTTCCTGAGGAAAACAATTCTCATGAGTGCTTGTCACAAAAACATATGTAATGTATAACAAATTTAAAGAAACAGTGCAAGAAACAGCTGAAGCTGCCTGAAAAAACAGGTGTTTCCTCCCATGTCCCTTCCTTATTACTCTTCACCCACAAACTCTCCTCAGTTTTATTTTTCTGACATTGCATATATATACTTCATGAAATTTTTAAACTGTGTATCATACTATATTTGGAGAATGATATATATGTATGTATGTATATGTGTATATATATATATGTATATACATTGGGAGAACCATTGCAACAGTGGTCTTTACTGCATTGTCCCTAAGCTTCTGGGCAGTGCTTAGGTATAATTGTCATTTGATAAAGCATTACAGCATATTAACTAAGTGATCACTAGCAAGTGTTTTCCCTATGTTTTCTGTTCAGTGAAAGGGTTAATAAGAGAGAGGGCTGGGAAGAAGGGATGCCATGTCTATTCATTGGCCTCTTGCAGTCATCATTCTATAGGTGGTGTTTGGACTGAAAAGCAGAATGACCAGCCCAGAGCTGAGCATTATTTTCTTCTATTGCTTTTTTTAAATTCCCCTGTGATCTATACTCTATGTTATCTTACTATGAATTCGATAATGAGGATCAAAATGTTAATAGAGTTAGTTACTATTCTCATCATATAAACAAATTCTGAATAACTTGGAAACACTGTTAATGTCAACCAAGAGCAAAGAACACAAACAGAGGGTGACGCAGAGGTTTTAGGGTAACGGTCTGGTCTCTAACAGCTCCGTATTGGCAAGCTAGGCTCTGCCACCGTCTCCAATAGCATTAAAGAGACAAGAAAGAGTGAAAGTAGAGAAAGGAGTAGTCAATTTGGTCACACCAGGAATGAAACCTCTGCTTACTTTTGGTGATGCTAACAATACTGAAATGAAATTTTGTTAAAGAGAAGGCAAGAGGTAATTCACAACCAAGCAGTTCTTTTCCAGGTGTGTTCCATCCTCAACCCATCAATTTGCCACCTCCACTTTCTCCTTCAAGACAACCTTGTAAATTCTCAGAACTCTGTGGATTCTGTTTCTGAGATGCAAGTGCCTTTTCTCGCTGCCACTCTCAGCATGTCCCTTTCCCCACCACGACATTTCTGAGGAAATTCTAATTATTATCTGTTCATTGTTTCAGGGGTCTGAAAGCTGAAGGCAGGGGCGTGAAGACCTCCTTTGAAATGTCTTTCACTATGTCAGGGCAATTACAAAAGCTTCAATTATATATAGTTGTGATGAAAATGATGATAAAAGCTCAGGAAATAGTTAATATCGCCATAAAAGAAATAGAATTTAGCATTCATGTTTAATAAAAACTACCTAGGCATTTAATAAAAAAAAAAAAACCAAGAAGCATGTAAATGGTCCTTTACCTGAAGCTGATGCAATTACACAAGACTTGCCAAGACATATAGCCAATGACATTAGTCCCTACCATCTAATGTATTTTTCTGAAATCAAAGTTCTTGAAAATGGATCAAAGGAAATGAAAAGCCATGCAGGCAAAACCGTGGCAAACTCTTCATCTGTTCGCGATTGTGTCTTGTACATCACATTTGATTTAGCTTGCAGCTCGTCTTAGACAGTCTTTAATAAACAGAAGTTCTAAAATTAAAAATTGACACAGTTCATCAGCTTATTCCTCTAAGCCATTCCCTGTTTACTCAGAAAAATGTAAATGTTCTAGATACACAAAGGAATTTCATTTGGCTCCAAAGAGAAATGAATTTATGAAATTTGCAAGGATGTGCATAGATCTGGAAAGTATCACATTAAGTGAGGTCATCTAGATTCATAAAGACAAAACATGATATTTTCTCATATATGCAAATCCTAACTTTTAATATTCATGTCTTAGCTGTTTTTCTTTTGCCATGAAGAGACACCACGACCAAGTAAACTTACAGAAGAAAGAGTTATTGGGCTTAGTTTCAGAGGGTGAGTCCATGGCCATGATGGTGTGGTGGACATCTCAGTGGCAGGCAGGTCTGGCTGTGGGGCCGGGGTTGGGAGGTTACATCTTGAGACAACAACAAAGAGGAAGAAAGGTTGGAGTGGGTAGGGAAAGGGAGAGGAAGAGGGAGACTGGGAAAGGTGTGGGCTTTAGATAGCTCAAAGCCCACCCCAGCCACATGCTTTCTCTAACATGGCCACACCTCCCAATCCTTCCCAAAAAGTTCTGGCTGGAGAACAATCATTCATATATGTGAATGGGGCCCATTCATATTCAAGACACCACAGGACGTGAGTAAATGAGAGAGCAAAGGCTAAAAAATCAGAGTGTGGTCCTTGGGGTGTGATGAAAAAGTATGAGGTATGGGGGAAAGAGTGGGGGTGGGCTAGAGGTTATAGTGACATAAAATCAGAGAAGGGGGTACCGGAGGCAGGAGGGTACCTGGGTGAGGGGGAAGAAGTAAGGAAAAGAAATAGCAAACCAAATCTGTTTGAAAAATGCCATAATGAACCTAATTTTTTGTATGATAGTAGAACCACTTTAAACTGAATGAAAACTCAGACTCTCTGTTTGCTGTTCGCTTTGCTCTCTGTCCTTCTGTACTGTGGCTTTCTGCTAGAAATAGGAATTCACTTTCAGTAGTGCAGGCTCTGTCAAGTCTTTAAAAAAATCTAGAGGCTGTATTTTATTTTTTATGTTTAATTTAATAAAACTTTGAGAATTTCACACATAAGTGCTGCCTCCCTTCTACCCCACACTCTGCCCCCCTAACTCCTTCTACATCCCTCTTCCTCCCTCTCACCTTTGTGGTCTTCTATTTAATAATTATTCTGACAGGTGTTGAGTATGCTTTAGTTTCTTAATGTCCAAGCCACCGGCTCTCCAATTGCTGAAGGTCAGTTTGCGGTACATAAAATTCTGTTCAGCCAGTCCTTTTCTTTCATTGCTTTCTGGTTTTCTATACCATGGCCCGTTTTCTTTGGCCTCTGCTCACACCTCTTAAGAAGTCAGCAAGGTTGGGAGTCGGTTGCTGCTGTGCTGCTTCTTGCCGGGTCAAACATTTAATTTTCTCTGCGGTAGTCAGTTTAGCCAAGAATTTGAGTGGACTTTAAAACCTTAGCAATTTCCTGAGCACAGGTGACTAAACCCAGGACCTGGTAGGCAGAAACAGGGTCAGGAGTTCACGGTCATCTTTGACTACATAGTAAGTTGCATTTAAGGACAGCAGGGACTACATGAAAACCTGTCTTAAGAAAAACTTAAAAATTGCTAGAAATTGTTGGGCTAGTCAGAGGATACATGACTGACCTACATTCTGAAATCTCAGGTTTTGTCTCACAGAGTACACTGACTTCCTTTTCATCTCTTTTCCTCCTTTGCGGTACACTTGATATATTTTATCTATTAGCTTTCTATTTTCATCTTGCTCTTTGTTTTAATCTGGACTATTCCTTTATACCTATTTCTGAGTTAAAATGAATGCTATCTTAAATTTTCTCTATTTTGCAGTCCTACTCATGAGATTTTGTTTTCAATTATTATACTTTTCTTCCCTGGAGATTCTTTTGGATTCTGGTTTCACACTGGTTAACTTTCATATTTTATTGTTTCCCCTACATCACCAATATACTTAATTTTTCAGTATATGAAAATGATTACTTTATATTCTATTTTGGATAGTGATCTTGTTTGGCTCTTTAGTGGGCCCACAGTCTTACAGATGTTAAAGGCTGGGTCTCTGGCCTGCGGAGCTACTGGGAACACGGAGGTTTGTGGCTCACAGGGCCTCCTGAAAGTTTGAGAGATGGATTAGGGTGCACGTTCATTTCTCTCTGCTCCTGATGTAGATGTCTGGTGACTAGCTCTCCCTGCCTTGACTCCCAGCAAAGGTAGGCTGTCCTCTAGATTTTTTTTTTAAATGTTGTCTTTATTTATGCATGTATGTGTCTGACACTATGTGTAGGTTGTGCTGAGAGATGGTGTCACATTCCCTGGAGCTGCAGTTACAGGTTGTGAGCCATCCAGCGATGGTCATGGGAATTGAACTCGGGTCCTCTGGAAGGCCAGCAAGAGTTAGGAATTGCTGAGCCATCTCTACAGCCCCTTACACTTTGGCGTTTTAGCATTAAACTCGTTTGTCCCCCGTAAGCTGCATTTTGTCAGGGTACTTTCTTGCAGAGATGCCACCAGAACCGGGGCCCTCTCTTATTGCAGCTCCTTTTCTCGAGATTCCATCTGTAAAGATTATCCGAGGCCTCTCTTCTTTTTTTTTTTTTTTGTTTGTTTGTTTGGTTTTTCAAGACAGGGTTTCTCTGTGGCTTTGGAGCCTGTCCTGGAACTAGCTCTTGTAGACCAGGCTGGTCTCGAACTCACAGAGATCCTCCTGCCTCTGCCTCCCGAGTGCTGGGATTAAAGGCGTGTGCCACCATCGCCCGGCCCGAGGCCTCTCTTTAAAGTGGATTTCCTCAGTGAAGATTTGTGTTCACCTTTGCAGAACTCCTGGAGCTGTCTCAATCCATGCTCACTGTAAGGATCCGGCCTGACATTTCCAAGCTACACAGCTGGTGCTAATCCAGCACAGGGGAAGTACTTTCAGGCACTAGGTCGGAATCCAGCTCAGGGGAAGCACATACAGGCTCTAGGTCGGAATCCAGCAAAGGGGAAGTACTTTCAGGCACTAGGTCGGAATCCAGCACAGGGGAAGCACAACAGGCTCTAGGTCGGAGACTCGCAAGAAGGAGCTGTTTCTCTCATGTTCTTTTCCAAGCCACAAAGACACAGCGTTTTGTGTGAAAATACTCCCCCATCTCCTCACCCCATGTGGCTCCCTCCTATCAGTGTGCTGTGGTTGCCTGGGAGTGGCTAATTGTCCCCCCCTGTCTCTTCTGGCCAATCTCCAGGCCTTAGCCAACCAGGCCCAGGCAGTGACTTAAGGGACCTTGTGTGTGGCGGACACTGGCTCTCCAGTGGTCCCTTCCTTTCTCACAGGATCTAGTCTCTTCTTCTAGACACACAGCCTGGCTAAACCTCAAAATCAAAGGTAGCTTTTATCTGACTTCCTTCGTATTTGCTTTGGGAAAGGCTTTTGCTATAAATACTCTGCCTCGTTGCAGAGCAGAGGATCTTCTGTTTAAAATCATGGCAAAATAGACCTCTCTACGAAATAGTAAGGAGGAGATTTGGTGAGGTGCTCTTTCCCTTCAGTAATATTGTCAGCTGTTTAAACGAAGCATTTCATAAACAGGAGCACAGTAGTCATAACTGTCATTTTCATAAAATGAGATTCTAACAAGTCTGCCTCTGCACAATTTGCCTTTGTTAATATCAAAATAGAGTGCTCTTTTCTGGGAGGCCTGAATCTCTCTCTCTCTCTCTTTCTTTCTTTCTTTCTTTCTTTCTTTCTTTCTTTCTTTCTTTCTTTCTCTCTTTCTCTCTCTCTCTCTCTCTCTCTCTCTCTCTCTCTCTCTCTCTCTCTCTCTCTCTCTTTCTCTCTCCTTCCTTCCTTCCTTCCTTCCTTCCTTCCTTCCTTCCTTCCTTCCTTCCTTCCTTCCTTCCTTCCTTTTTCAGCCATGGCGCAGGATGGGCATTTTGGTCCTATCAGTGAGACGGCCACTGGGATTCCCCAACTCATCTTGGATCCTTATCCAGTCTGAGACACACAGGAAGCAGCACACCTGAAACACAGGTATGAAGATCAAAGAAACACCCTGGTTTCTAAAGGAGACTCATCAGCAGAATTAACACCTGTTCATCCGGTGTTTCTGAAGGATTTCAACTATCTCATTAATAAAAATACTGTAGGTTAGTGTACACTCCGTAGGAAAAATGAAAATAACCATCCCTCAACTCCTGCAGAATGCTCATAACAGTTATTTTCTCAGCCCATATATTACCACTATGAAAGTATAATGCAAGAGAGACCAAGTTTTCCCTGTTACCATATTGAAATGAGAGGACCTTTAACTGACTAACACATGCTTTGATTGTTGTCTCCACGCTTTCAACAGTCACAAATTAGTCTTTCTGTGCTGGAAGGAAGTCCCTTGTGACTCTGGGATATTTTTTTTAAGTGTGAGGACGGGGCCATAAGATTCAATACTGGGTGACTGAGAGAAAAGTGGTTACAAAAGAGAAACTAAGAAAATATAAACATACAAGTACATATAACCACAAGATGTAGGTGGACACAGACTAAACTGACTCAGTTTGGTGCCACGAGAATTTTGTCAGCACAACTAAAACACAGGATGATTCAATGGTACGGTTGGAAGTTGAGAGGCCAGCAGAGGGTCTACATCAGGAAGCTCTCAACCTCCTGTAACTACAGCTCCAAAGGCTCTAACACCCACTTCTGTTCTCCACAGGCACCCGCATGTGTGACATTTACAGAGACACCACCACACAGCACAAACATAAATAAAAATATTTTTTTTTCAAGTGTGGGTATATAGCTCAGTAGTAAAGCATTTGCCTAGAAGATGCAAAGCCCTGGATTTAATCCCCGGAAGAGAATAATCAGTGCTTAGAAATATCCACACTTCAGATTTTTAAATTTCAGGACATGTATCCTAAAAAGTGATACTGTTAAAACTGTAATTTTTATTATTCCTTTGTTTTTCTTTCTAGTGTGCTTAGGATCAGTCCCAAGACCTTTCTTACACATGCTAGATAAATGATCTGCTCCTGAGCTATATTCTGTGTTTGGAGCTTTGGCTTTAAACCCTACTTCAATCCAGCTATTCAAGAAACTCTTCATGGAGCAGCCAGCTCCACCACTAAGGAGAGCCTTGGGAGATATTGTCTCAGGATATTTGGGATGATTACATATCCGATGTCTAGAAATAGAGGATGCAGAGAATGTTCAGCTATCTAAACAGACATTTATTTAATCAACAAATTTTAAAACAAGTTTTTCCAAGAAAAGAAGGGGAAATGCCAACTTGTATGAAATTTGAAAAACTGGGCCAAAGCATCCCGAGCTTCTCTGCACCTGAGTGCCTTTTCTACCCGTAGACTGCTGTGTTCGTTTACAGTGATTTGCCTGCTTGCTTCAGTAATCTCCTTTTCTCCTTTCCTCCCCCTTCATTCCATTACAGCAAACACTCTCCTTGGCTCAGGAACTGGAGGCTTCATTTCACGATTCGTTGGTCATTGTTGCTTCGGATGAGGGTGTGGATAATCGTATGGACACGTGGCAGAACAAACCTCTTCATCTCATGGCCAGGAAGGGAGATGGAAGGGAAAGGGCTGGGTTTCCCACTATCTCCTTGGAGGACACCCATACAGTGGCCTAAATGGATACGTCCCATTAAGCCCCTCCCCTCTTGATGATTCTACTACTTCTCAACAAGACCACCCTGGAGGCCAGGCCTTGAACACATGAACCTTTTTAGAGGATCCAAAGTATACGGTATTATTCAACATGAACAATTGCAGTTTTCTATCAAGTTCCGATTCGTGCTATGCACTGTTCCCTTGGTAGCTCTGACTACCAGCAAGCAAGGAAATGGTGAAATTAGACAGCAGGGACTATTGTCACGGTGACTCTGGCCTCTGACATAAAGTGATCTTTAGTGTGCCCCTGCCTGAGAACCTTCTTGGTACAGTGGTGTTTCTATCTTGCAAGTCAGTCATCAAAATTATCTATAGATGTTTGTCAAGATTCAAGTTCCCAGTGCCTACAACTTTGAAAAAATTTATTGAGTCTGACTGGGGACTTTTATTCTGATACTTTATGAGAACTCCTCAAAATGACCGACCTGGATAATCCTCTGCTTAGACTTCTTGAGTTTGAGCCCTGATTTTCCCTCTTGCTAGCTGTGTGATCGAGGTGGGGGAAATGATACTTAATATCTCTGTATCTCCATTTTTTTCCAAAGGTGACATCATAATATGACTATGGTTTATTAAAACTAAATATGTACAGATCTTTCATATTAATCCAGTTATGTATTTAAATAGTGCCTGGCTTCATTAGGGCCTGCATGTGATTAACATCCTATGATATCAGCTGGTGTGATTCTTTTGACAATTAAAATGTTACAACCGTGGCAAAGAACCGTTTGTTCATTATTTCCTAATCTCTTTGTTGGAAACTGGCATTAATTTCTATTTAGAAAATAGAAAAGTCAGCCAGGTGGTGGTGGCACACACCTTTAATCCCAGCACTCAGGAGGCAGAGGCAGACAGATCTCTGTGAGTTCAAGGCCAGCCTGGTCTACATGAGCTAGTTCCAGAACAGGCTCCAAACCTGTTCAACACCCTGCTTCAAAAAAACAAGAAAAAAAGAAAGAAAATAGAACACTCAAGAGTAGAATATAGAGTTCAGGGGATGAGTGCTTGCCTTGTGTATATGAGACTTTGAGGGTCATCCTCAGTGCCATAAAAATAAATAAGGAATAGAGAGATGCATCAGTAGCTAAGACTGTTGCTATTTCAGAGGACCAGTTTCTATTTCCAATAAGCACATAATGGCTCACAGCCATGTGTAACTCCAGTTGTAGGAGATCCAATGCCCTCTTCTGACCTCAGAGGCACTAAGCGTGCAGGTGGTGCTATATGTACATGCAGCTAAAATACTCACAAAAATTAATAAATATAATTAAGAAATTAAGAACAAATCAATACACAAATAAACTAAAGCTAGAGTGTAGATAAAACTCAAGTATGTCTGTGTATGTGTGAGGAAAGACAGAAACTTTCAAGCACAACAAAATAAAAATCTATCTTCAAATGTTCAATTGTTTTAGGGAGCCTCAAGTACCCATGAAAATATAAGGCTGTGTAAGAGGGACCAAGCTAGAGGGGAAAACAGCATTATTGAAAAATAAGAAGGTTGCAGCGAGCCCACTCAAAATAAAAATCTATTTATAGCTATCTACTTATAGATTCTTTTTGATTCATAACTTATTTTGCTGAGTTCTTGCCAAATTTTATTTGTGGGGAATATCTTATGTGAAATTATTGCAAGAGCCGTGAAACAAATTTCAAATTTGGATTTTACATTATCAAGAACACATGCCCCTTACTGCTCTGTCAATCAGTGTGTATAGCCTACATCTGAGTTTCAAACACCAAAGTCAGTGCAGTTTAAGTTGCCCTCATGGAATGGGCCTCAAGCAGCATTAAGTCTATCAGAGTCTGTAACATACTTCCTCTCAAACCATGCACACTGTGGAAGACTGTGTCTGTGTCATCTGTCAGGGCTCAAATATTGGTAAGGCATCCAATGTAACTATGACTTTAATATAAACATACACAGAGTTTTCATGTTAATATATTGAGTTCACTTCCCAGTTTCAGAATTGGTGTGATACTTCGGTGTTGTGAAAGTCAAAAAGGCTTTAGGTTTATAGGGACAAAGGATACAGTGCGTCCTTTAAGATGTGAATAGTGGGGCTTGAAAGATGCCTCACCAGATAGAAGTGCTCACTGGGATGGAGAGATGGCTGGAGCAGGTAGAGAATATTGCAACCATGAGGACATGGGTTCAAATCCTGAGAACTCACACATGGGAGCATAAACAGGGCTCTCATTGCAGTTTCTTGGCCACTGACTTAGCTCCCGTTTCTGTGATAGACCTTACTTCAATGAAATAAATTAGGAGCAACAGAACAGGGTCCCTGAGAGGTTCATCTGGCCTCTGTAGACACGCACGTACATCACACATAAATATTACATGTCTCTCTCTGTTGACTGAGATTTCGGTCCTGCCTGGTGCTGCAGTCATTCAGTACCAAAGAAGAACACAGAAGTCTACATCAATTATAAACTGATTGGTCCAGTATCTCAGGCTCTTCTTATTAACTAATTCTTATAACTTATATTAGCCCATAATTTTTGTCTATGTTGGTCACGTGGCTTGGTAACTTTTTCAGAGAGACACTCACATCTTGCTTCCTTTGCGGCTGGGTCAACTGGGAAAAGCTTCCCTCTTTCCAGAATTCTCCTGTTTTCATTGCCCCATTTCTACTTCCTGCCTGGTCGCCCTGTCTATACTTCCTGCCTGGCTACTGGCCAATCAGCATTTTATTAAAAATAATATAAGAGACAGAATACAGACCATTGTCCCACAGCATCTCTCTTTTTCTCTCCATACACACACACACATACACACACACGCTAAAAACATGAATAGACTAAGAATTTCTTAAATTATCTATTTCCAGGTCGCTTAGCAGTCCTTGTTACGGATGGCCACTTTCTCATATGCTCCAACAAAATACTCAGGCTGCACCTTCAAGAAAGACTGCTGAAAATCGCTGCTCAACCGGCAACATCATTATTTCCAAACGTCGACACTGCGCACCTCGGCTGAGCTTTCTACCGCTGTGCAGAGGAGGGTTGTTCCCTGAAATTCCCACAACACTTCATGCGCTTCCACCTCCATCCTCAGTTCCAGCTCATGTTTGTGTCCACGGTCCACTCCTCTTGACTATGTATATTCTCTAGCGTGACAAGTCTTTATTCCACCATGTGTCTTCCCTGAGATCCCTACCAATATTTACACTTGTATTTCTTTGGAAAGCGTTCCTTACAAACTCTAGGCTTTTCAAAAGCTGACTTTACCAAATCCATCTAGCCTCTGCTATTGCACAGGTCCAAAGACACATTTTTAGGTCTTTGTTCGATTACTGCCCACTTCCCACACTATCAAAATTCTCTGTGAATTTCCTGTTTGTTCCCATGGTGCAGAACTCTCCATAATACTTTTGGAAGCCTGGGCTTCTTTACTTACAGAAGTCTGAACTGAGTTTGACTAGAACGAGGCCAGGGTGACAATGGAGCTGCTTTCTTTTGTGGGCAATCTAAGGTAAAATAATCCCCCCTCATCCCTGTGTAGAGGCAGCAAGTGTTCTGGCTCCCTTCCATCCTTGGGGCTGGAAATGGCACGGGAAGCCTTTCTTTCACCGTTTCATTCCTACCGCCTGTTTCTCACGCTGGCCTTTCTGCCTTCCGTTTTTTTAGAAAGATCTGTATAATTACACTGGATCCATACAGATAATGTGGTATAATTTCATCTGCAACCTCTGTTTCCCTTTCATTTCATTTTTATTTTTAAAATAAAATCTCTCTCATGGTCTTTTGTGGTTAAACAAGAGAAATTACAGAAACCATAGCAATCCTGGGAGATTTAACAGTGCATTTTCAAGTAAATAGTGGATTGGAAGAAGTCAGAGAGGAAATTTTAAACTCCTATAGTCAAATGAAAATAAAAATACAACCTAACTGAATCTCTGGGACACAGCCAAGTTGGTACTGAGTGTAGCCTTAATGGCTATAAGTGCTCATATGAAAAAAAAAAAAGATTAGGAATTTCAAATAAACAACCTAATGATACAGCTTGAGGCTCCTTAAAAGCAACAAGAAATCAATCCCAGACCCAATGAATGGCAAAAAAAATAACAGATTAGGGAAGAAATTAATGAAGTGGGGACCAAAAGAATAACACACAAAGCCAATCAGACAAGAGTCGGTGCTTTGCAGAAGTTACCAAGATTGGCAGGCCATTGACCAGCCTGTCAAGAAAGAAGAAGAAAGCAGGAGGTGTCTCCCTCGGAGATGAAAATGGTGTCCTTAGAACAGACTCCAGCGAACGCGGACCCTCAGGAGGGGATTTTTTTTGAAAGCTTAAACTCCCCAAAGCTCAAAAACCTAGAAGAAATTGCTGAGTTTTTAGATGCATATGATCTATCAAAATAAAGTCAGAAGATGCAAATAGTTATAAATAGACCCATACAATCAATGAGAGAACAAGTTGTCCCTCACAGGAACCCAGCACCAGATGGGTTCACCTGGCTTCTATGACCCTGTCTTCTTTCAAATCTTAACATTTTTCTTTATAACTTCACCACAAAGAGTTGGAAGACAAAAGAGAATGCAGCAAAATTAACCAAACCAGAGGCTTCAGAATGAATGGCTCTGTGGTAAGAATCGCAGTTGGAGCTGAAGCTTCCCGCTGACTGGATCTTAACTTTTCACTGGGGAATATGTTTTTATGCATGTATTGCTTGTATTGGGTTTCTTTGCAATATTTACATTTTCTGACAGGGCCAAAGAGGTTGCAGAAAGCTTGCTTGGCACTGAGAAACTGCCTTTGGTAGCATTTCTGTTAAACTGGCATGACTTCCTTGTTCCCAACAGAGAGAAAACTTTAGGACATGACACTCAGGGGTCAGAATAGACTTGAAGATGCAGTACCCTTCAGGTGTTACTAGCTGCTCAGCCGACAATGCCTCTGAAAGGAGGCTGTACAGGAAAGATCCATGCCAGTGTAGCACAGTAGCATCAAGAGTCCTTCCATGACCCTCACAGCCCAGTGCAGACACGCTCCTGTGCCCTCTGCTCCTCCTACACTTTCCTTTACCCACCTTTAGCTCCTGCCCTGTGTGGTCATTCCTATTTGCCACCGTAGCCCCATCTACCCCCTGCTCATGGGCCTTTTTTTTTTTTGTATCCTTTTTTTGCGTCTTAACTTCAAAGTAGTTGGAGGATAGATTTTTCTACTTATCTAAGAGAACACCATTGGTTAACTTAGGAGTAAGGGAAGTGTATGATTTAGCAAGAAAACAACGACAAAGCCTGAACCATAACCAGCATCGGAGCTGTGAGGTTTAGTTGGATCTTAGGGCCAAAGTTTCCCCCCTCGTTCCCATAGTTGTGTTGGTATTTCCGGCTAATTCTGTTTCTTTCCACTTCTATCCTTTCTTTATGCCGATTCTTCTGATGTTTGCTATGTGGTAGGCAAAGCTGGGAGCCTCCGTGGAATCAAAGTAGGTGGTGAAGTCAGGAAGCGGATGTCAAGAGACACTCAGGTACTATCTGTCTCAGATTTCTTGGAGTTGAAGGATTGAGAAGACACCAGAAGTAATTTGATTGTGTTTGTGTGTGCGTGATGATTTTAAAAAATACAAGAACAGCTATGCTCACATTCATGTGCAAATAGAATTATGTAGTGAAACCAAATAGAGGCAAGACCTTACTCAAAAGAAATTACATTTCTGTGACCACAAAATT